GATGTGTAAATAAAATTTGAACTTGAACTAAAATGTTGTAAACCAACGATGATGTACATCTACAGGTTGTATATTTGTTTTATGGTAAAAAAATAAAAATACCAATCACACGCACGTACATGTACATCCTCGTGTTAACGTGATGGCGGGACTTTAAGCTTTATAATTACTTTTACATAGTAAAGTACACAGTGAAGCACCTAACCACTTAGGTCCCGAAGCAAACGTATAATATACCTAGGGCCGGTAAGGAAAGGAGCTATTGTTCTTAAAACAACATAACTTCAATGAGAGAGAGAGAGAGGGTGATTCAATGAATCTCCTGAAAGCGAGAATAAAACTTATTTTTCTCTCCTTTGTCCCTTTTGTACTGAAATTTCGAGTGACCGATACATAAGCAACAGATTGGTATCTTTATTTGTTCTTACTCTACAAGTATACTTCCAAAGATTCTAGATGATTATTTGTAATAGAAATGTGACTAATTATGAAACTTGTCAATCAAATCTTTTCCATCTGCCAATGTTTACTTATGATTTCTCAAGAACGACAGTTATTTATGCCGGACCAAAATTATGGAACAAATTGCCCAAAGAACTTCAAATATGCCCAACAGTATCAATTTTCAAAAGAAAGCTCAAGAAATATCTCGTATATGAATGTGTATAACTAGGATTATTTTCTACATAAAATGCCTTTCCTTTTTTTTTATTGTTGTTGTAATGGATTTGTCTGGTTTAATTCGGTATATTGATGCTTTGTGTTATTTTTAATCTCTGTATTTCTATCTCATTTTTAGTACATTTAAGAAACGTTTTATGTAAATTGTATTATCTCTGGGAATAGCCTTGATAGGCCATTGGCCTTTGTTTTTTTTCTCACCACATTATGATTTAAATTGAAGATGTTTCATTTTAACGTTTTTTAATGTATATATATATATATATATATATATGCATATAAATTGTACTTGTGTTTCCTAAAATCAGATGTGTAAATAAAATTTGAACTTGAACTAAAATGTTGTAAACCAACGATGATGTACATCTACAGGTTGTATATTTGTTTTATGGTAAAAAATAAAAATACCAATCACACGCACGTACATGTACATCCTCGTGTTAACGTGATGGCGGGACTCTAAGCTTTATAATTACTTTTACATTATTCACTTAGGTCCCGAAGCAAACGTATAATATAATTAAAAAGAAGGAAGGAAGGAAGGAAGGAAGAAGAAGAAGGAAGAAAGAAGAAGAAGAAATAGAGGAAGAATGGCTATTTTTGTTTGGGGTATCAAATGAGGGCTGAATGTAGACTATCCATCTCGTTTCCATTGTTACCAATGCTGAGAAACGAGTATTTTATGTCTTTATTTTATTCTTTTCGGGGGGGGGGGGGGGGTAGCTGTATGTAAAAAAAAAATTGAAACATATTATTTGTGTACGATAGTGGATTCAGTAGAAATGATCACAAACCCAATACTTTGACGGTTAAATATATTTAGATTTGCACTGTTTGCCTAAATATGAAATAGGATGGATCCCCCGGACATAATGTCGATAATCAGAGTACACTGGTGAGCATTAACCAAACTCCCTCTATCGCTACGTTGTACTTATTATGGGTGTATTTTCGGTATCTAAATTTCCAATGTTTCTTCACAGAAAGACATTAAACGTTTATCAAAAATATTATACAGCCATATGAACCCATAAGCATACAGAACAAACATTTGTTTGGAAATCGTTCCTCATTGTTAACCTTCTTCTAACCGCATAGCATTATTTGGTTTCGAAAGATATTGCACACTCATCACAATGGATTCTCTCTTTTTTAAGCGTATCACGTGCATTTTACTGCAAGCAACAGCAAAGTAGGAGTGAAAGCTATCTTGAACCTTTTGCAACAAAATACAAATATTTAAAATCAGAATAAGTCATATTCCTGAATGAATGGAGTCTGACCAATGCTGAGCACATAAAGGCCTATAATATCACAATTATAACACTACATGTATTACATAACCAATCATCTATACTATCAGAAGACTAGTAGGAATCCATTTTTGTTCAATATGATTAATCAACATTTTAAATAAAGATACATATTTTGCACTCTACAGGATAATACACACGTATATATTTATTTGTTTGCCTATGCGATCAAAGAGCTATTACAACAGTTACTCTGTTTCTTTAGTGGTTTAGAAAATATTCCAATCCGTGCTGGCTCAGCCAACTCAAAGTATATGTTAGAGTTTAGGATTTTTCAGAAAAGGTGCGTTCCCTTCCAGCGTTGTATTGCTCCTAAACTCATACTACTCAAAAAGTTCCATTCTCAAAGCATGGTGCGCATTATAGGAAAGTATTTGATAATGATGATAATGATAATAATAGCAATAATAATAATAATAATAATAATAATAATAATAATAACTAGAAATTTAATTCGTCATTGGGACTAATCAGGTGGTCTGTCTTTATTTCTCATGATCATGCTCATCTTCAATTCAATTAACCAATAAAATGATGTCAATGTAAAATGATGTATTAAGATATGAATTGATGAATGAAGTACTGATGAACTGATGAACTGATAAATCAAACTGATGTGAAATGAACTGAATTGATGAGCTGTACGGATGAACTGAACTAAACTGATGAGCTGAACTGATGAACGAAATATTGAGAAATTATCATGATGATGCATAATTAAGTAATATTGACTGCCTTCCGGGCAATACGACGTATATCGCCCGAACCAAAGGTGAGGATGATATATGGCAAGTCGTATTGCCCTGAATTAGGCAGTCAATATTACTATAATTAAGCACATCAGACATCTAGAGCATACAAGAAACTCTTATTATCTTATACTCTTAAATTATGTAGCCTACACTGCACAGGATTTCCTAGCATTAGAAGTTGCAAAAACATCGTCAAACAAGCACTGTGCATCCAGTGCTTGACCAATTTTCGATACACTGCAAACAGTGTGCCTAGGGTGTGATTGTTACGTCATAATAGAGTTCGCGCATGGTGCGCATTTTGTTATACGCGTAATATACATTGTCATTGTCACCAGCAGCTGGTGCGCGATGAAATTTACAACTGAAAAGAATGAAAATGAGGTGAAAAGCAAGAGATACAGGAGAGAGAGAGAGAGAAGAGAGAAATGAGACAGAAATGAGAGACGGAGAGAAAAAGAGAATACACCAGTTTACAGTTGTATCAGTGCGCATGCGCAGACAGTTGACCTCGGGTCATTGGCCCCAAAATTGGGGCCAATAACCTCTGACCTCTGGTATTTATGCGTAAATTAAAATTGCGCCCATGCAAATGATGATGTGCGCGCACAACGCAGCGCGCAGGCAGTGATGTCATCATTATTTGCATGGGCGCAATCTTAATTTACGCATAAATACATGACTCCTAGGTCATTAGCTTTGTTTAAAATGGCGCACACATTCAGAGGTTCACAGAAAAATGGATAAAAGAAAATAGCGAGAGAAAAATGACGAAATAAAGTGGAAGGTAAAGAGCGAACGGAATTAAAGGTAAAGACCAGTATTGGCAACGCCCCAATTTCAAAAAATGAAATAGAAGCTCTCATTACCAATCATGTGAAAGAATATGTTTTGACTAATACATGATGATAAAAAAATTGCCGGGAAACCGCCTACTAATTCATATATTTGGTAAACTTATTTCTCTCATGGTCTGGTGAGAGAGATAGGGTAGTCCCATATACATCTTTCTGTGTATAGTGCTTGTAACTTTACGAAGAATGGGCCAAATTTCTTATCATTTTGATGATTCCAGAACCTTGCAGATGCTAGATGCTAGATGATCAACCTTTTCTGATCGATTCCACAACGTTTCTTTCACAATGCAATCGCATGACCATTACTGGTCTTTACCTTTAAAGGAAAGTCCACCCCAAAATAAGTTTGTTTCGATAGAGGCAGAATAATAAGAAAATCAGGTGAGTGAAAGTTTGAGCAAATTCTGAATGAAAATAAGAAAGTTATGAATTATTGAAGTTGTGATCAATCAAATACAAATTGGCAACTCTATGACGTATGATGCGAGCTCAACTTCCATTTGCTCAGTACTAAAAAAATCTAAAATTTTCATTTTCCCTCAAGAAAAATTTCAACCATACATGCACCCTAAATATAATAATTGCAAATATGTTTCTATACTCCCCCTGCAAGGAACAAATATATATTCCGTCATCAATAACGAAGAAAACATGATTTTATGGAATATTATGCACAAAGCAAATGAAGGAGAGCTCGTATAATAAGTCACAGAGTTGCCAATTTGTATTTGATTGATCACAACTTCAATAATTCATAACTTTCTTATTTTCATTCAGAATTTGCTCAAACTTTCACTCACCTGATTTTCTTACTATTCTGCCTCTATCGAAACAAACTTATTTTTGGGGTGGACTTTCCCTTTAAGTGAAATAAAGGGTGAACAAATAGAAGAAAACCTTTAGGAATTAAATTAAGAAGTTTGGTTTGTTCGTGTATCAAGAAAAAGGAGCAAGATGAAAGAAAATTGAAAAGAATAAAATAGAAAGAATACAACTTTATCACGGTCATAAAGATAAAGGAACAAGAGTAAAAGGGTTTTAATTTGTATAATGGAGACAGAGAGTTAACATTAGGACTCATTAATTCAACTCCTTTTTAATTTTCAAAGCTAATCTCAATATCGATTCGCACAACTCTCATTCTCTTAAAAAGTTCAAGTAAAGAAAGTCTACTATCACACACCATCATTCACATTTCCTTCTCTACAACAGACCATTTAAATAGTTTCCAATTCCAAACATTCATTCAAAGCTTTCAACACCACACACTACATCATCATGGAAAAAACAATATATCTTTCTGTATCAAATTCTATAAAAGAAGAAAGAAATGGAAACAATTTTAAAAAGAATGAAGTACTTGTGTACATTTAATTAATACACCCAGCAATCAGTACTTTTTTATTTCAGTTCAAATAAAGTGTTTTTTTTATGTCCATAGTCGGTTGTCGTAGGCTAGCAAAGTTGGAAGAACGAAGGAAGTGTCGTGCTGCAAAGGCTGCTCAGATCAGGCGATGTTTCCCGGTACCATGTTTCCCCCGATGTATAGTGATAAACTTCCGCCAGGAGAGCTCATGCTGAGATCGGAAGAACGTGATTGTCGGCGTCCTGTCGATGTCCGTGGGGTTCATACTGGGATCCGATGGTCACCGGGCCGGAGCTCGATCCTCCTTGTTTGTCTTTATATTTTGGGCAGTATTTGACTGTGTGTGCCCGGTTGCCGTTGGTCCCGCAGAGTGGACAAGTATACGCTCGTTGTATCGGGCAGGTTGTGATGCCTTCCTTCGATTTCAGTTTGTGGCTGGCATACACCATCTCACTCTCTCCGTTGTTTTTACAAAAAACGCACCAGCTCGACTCGGCTCGCCTTCCTCCCCTCATCACCTTGGAGAGCTCGGTGATCTTAGCGATGTTCAGCGGCAACTGTAAAGGCATGAACCCGGTCGAAGCAGTCGATGTCTGGCTCGTCGAGACAGGCAGACCCGAGACCATGTTGTTGATGCTCAGGTCACTGATGGACGAAACCGATTGCGACATCACTGGGACGTTGACGCCGTTGGAATCGAAGTCGTCGTTGTGGTCGAACGGTGTCGAGATAAACTCATCATTTACTCTGCAATTGGACAACAGTCCACTAAATCCGAAATAATCGTTGAAAGGGTCGTACATGGTGACTAAAAATGCGTGGAAACTCGAGACAGTAAATATTGTAAAATGCGATGTACGTCCAAGAGCTTGTCTTCAATGATCTAAATTTATGGGAAATGTAGTCCGTTTTTATTGATTCTCAAATAAAAACAACAATAACTTCTTTTTACGCGATTTACGCGCATTATGTAAATAACACAGTGAATCCCAAATTTATGCTATGAAATATTTGTTTGTTTAATTTATGCTCTTATTACAAAGGAGAGCTTGAAATATTTATCTTATGCCTTGTATAAAGTTTAAAATAAACGCCTTGTATAAAGTTTAAAATAAACGCATTGTAATGTTTCCATTACTAAAGCAGTGTAACTTTTGGAATAAATAAGCATTTAATATTGAATTAATAAAGATTTTGAACTTGATAAGGTCCGGTTGCAATGTGTACGCGCATCTCTGTGCATGATCGCGGCGCGTTGCTTACAGCACGCACATATAGATTTCGGATTCGAGGCCGATTCGGAAGAGTCGCCCAACAAATTGGTCCAAACTTAACACTGAACTTTAAATACCATTTACTAATTCCCTAAACTCTCTTTCATAAACAAACAGGTATACTTCTTTAGTTAAAGATAAACTTTAGTACTGGTAATGCGATTGCATTGTGAAAGAAAAGGTGTGGAATGGATCAGAAAAGTTGATCATATAGCATGTAAGTAATGGTGTGTAATGCAAGGTTCTGGAGTCATCAAAATCATCATAAATTTGGCAGAGTCTTGGTAAAGTAACGATCACTTACACAGAAAGATGTATATGGGACAACACATATGGTGTCGGGGCTAGTAGTACCCTGATTTCCTTATCTTTATATGCTTATTACTCAGCCAGTATACATTTTCTCCCAAAATTGTTTGGCACATGACATTTATTTGTAATCTTGAACATTCAGTGTAAGTTTCGTTAGATTCTATGAGAATTCATTTTCTTTTTTTACCAGAACTCAAGTTTATCTTTAATTTTAAAGTCCATTACCAATTTACAGTGTTATAACAATAAACAGGTTTTTATAAAACTATGATAGATAATAATATTTACTATATTGAAAAGGGGAGAAGGTATATAGACATGTAAACAATGATGATCATGATGATGATGATCTTCATAGTAATGGTGATGACGATGACGATAATGATAATGTTAGATGATGATAATGATGATGACGACGATGATGATGATCATGATGATGATGATGATAATAATGATAATGTTAGATGATGATATTAATGGTAATGTTAATGATGATGATGATAATGATGATGATGATGTTGATGATCATCATCATCAAGAGACCATGATGACATCAGATTGAACAAAATGAGAAAACATTTAGATAGCATGTAGTCTCAGCTACAACATACTCAAAAATCAAGAAAAATCAAGCATAAGTAACGGCGATATTGCTCGCAAAAGACATGAATGTAGAATCCAGATTTGAGATAAAGTCATCTCCCATAAGGATTACACGCAAAAAGTAATGGATCAAGTGATAATAGTGTAATAATAAAGTAAAAATAGCTGTTTATTACATTATTACCGATTCTATGTGTTTTAATATTCAAAGGAGATGGTACAGTGAAAGGTCAAAAAGAAAAAAAAGTGAAGGAAAAAATATTGTTGGAGACGCCCGGACTCGATCCTGGGACCTCGAGGTCGGAAGTCAAGTGCGTTACCGATATACCAAAACATTTCCCATAGAGATTACACGTAAACAGAAAATAGAATTCTCAAATCCCACTTTGTAAGTGAAATATGAGCATGATCCCGGCATCTGATCGAAAAATACACTTGTGATAGCTTATTGTCTCAGCTACAACATATTCAAAGCTCAGCGTAAACAAAGATAAAACGACGGAGATATTGCTCGCGAAAAACGAGAATGTAGAATCCAGTTTTGAGAAAAAGTCATGTCCCATAGAGAATACACGCAAAATGTGAAAAATTGACATGCCTCCTTTAAATGCAAAAAAAAAGCCATGATGCCTTTGTCAAAATGAAATATCGTGGCAACTGCATTTGTAGAGAATATTCTCAGCTAAAACATATAAAAATTTGGTCAATATTTACAGAGATACAATCAATTTTCCAAAAATCTGCTAACGTCATAATATGCAAATTGAAATTTTGAGTTCGGAGGCCATTATGATGACGCCATGAGTTAATTTTGGGTCAAATGAGACATGAAATCATATCTCCGACTCATGATCTATCTAAATATGAAAAAAATTGGGGGTATCTATCCATTCTAAAGAGTTAAAATGAATTTTTTATAGGCTTGTTTTTGCACATGTAATGTGGATAGGGATAGCGCAGATCCGCGCGTGCTGTTAACTTTGACTGACGCTCATTGCGTTATCACTGGTCAAAAAAAGGTGAACAAGGTATCAAAATGCTTGGAAAAATGTGGTTGATGTGATAGAGAAAATTTGGCGTTACTATGTTGTAAAATGTCAGTACGCGCGATTACGCGCGGAAACGCGCAAAAAATTGCTCTCGCGCAAATTTAGAAAATGCTTACAATGGCCTGAAACGTGTGCAAAAAAAATTGAAACAAATTTGAGCAATTTAAAATTTTGATGCGCGCGTACGTGCGCGTCGAGGTGTGCGCGCGGAATGTGTTGACATTTTTAGTTGACCTTTGACCTGAAGTTGATGTATACCAAATATGGTTTATTTTTGATGACTCGTTATTGAGATATGATAATAACCTGATTTTTACAAAATGGCGCCTGGATGACGTCACGAAGACCTAATGACCTTGAAAAAGTTGATTAGACTTGAAATCATAGGGCCTGATGACTGACAGAAATCCGAAGGAAATTGACCTTGTCGATTTCGAGTAAACGTGTGCACAAAAAAGTGTAAGGAAGAAATAAAAACTAGAATTTAATTCGTCACGAGGACGAATAAGGTGGTCTGTCTTCAAGTCTTATGATAGATTATAATATTTACTATAAGGAATGCAGTGAATAAAAGAGGAACTATGAAACGTCAAGGGTGATTGATCTGGATACATGTCTTATAGAGAAAAACGAGTTCCAAAAACAATATTCACAAAATGTTTTTTATCAGCATCTGTATTGAAATTTAAGCTGTGATTGTCCGTATGTGCGTCATAAACACGGCTTAGACGTGCATGTGTGTGATGGAGCCTGGTAGGAGATTAGAGTTGGTCCGTTTCATATCATGAAAGGTTTTTCTTTTTAAGCTAGGAGGATGTATTCTTCAAGTCAGGGCGAAAGGCTGTGCGTTCTTGTGCGTTATTTTGTTTGTGTGTGTGTATGGGTGTGCTGCAATGACAACATTGCTTTCATAACGAAATGCTCTCAATCGTTTCCATCTATATTTTCCATGAAATATATAAGGCATAGGTGTAGGAAAAAACCCAGACATATCAGGAAATACATCCTTAGGTAAAATACAATCTGATCAAAAGGAACACAATTTCCTCAGAGTAACTCATTGAGTTACAAGATGACCCCAAAAGAAATACTTTCTATCGGTTCAACCATGGACCTACTACAAATGGACACTGAACGGTACCATAATACATTCATGCACCTGACTCTGTCAAAAGTATCATAATGACATTCCAAACATGCTTCCAGGCTTTGATCTCATCACGACCGCCGCGAGTCAGCCATCAAAAATAAAAAACTTTGCCTTGAAGAATCTACAAAATGCCTGTGCAAAAGAAACTGAATCTCTCGAAATCACGGAAATGCATGTGCAGTTGTGGTGTACATATGAATATTGACGTATATGAAGTTTTTAAAAGGAAATTAGAAGTGGTTTACAAGAAAAACCTGTAAATTTGGCTTTAACACAATGATTTTAAACTTCATTTTAAAACATATCCTCTCCATTTCCAAGGAATAGAAGGTAATAGGACAGTAAAGAATATGTATTTTTCAAAGTTTGGCAAGTCCAAATGTATGTCCACCAGTGTCCACTTCTTTAATAATCAATCTAATATCACACAAATTGTCATAATTTGGGGTTCACTGCTCCTCTAACTGGTCTTAAATCACGATACTTTTCCTGAAACTACACTATGGGCCCTGGTCCAGCAAAAAGAATCTGAAGAAATGTAAAAGGTTCTTTTGTCTGTGATGAAGCGTGATTACATAATCAACATTGTCGCGTCAAATGAATGTCCTCATCAAGATACACATTATCAGGTGGCGGTGGTCATGATGTGATCAAAGAAAGACTCTCATTATTAGTCCATCTCTAGTAGGGTCCATGGTTCAACCTTATTTTCATAGTCGGCGAAATCAGTGCTCAGTTAAAAAAAATTGACAAAGGCAGTACCCTGCTTTATTTGAAGATGGATTTCCAGAATTAAGAAATAGACAATTCCTCAACTAATCTGTAATTATTCTGCTAGTAATCTTCAACCATTCAGCGTATTCGCTAACTATTCTGTAATTATTCTTTAAATACTTGTCACGTTCTGGAGGGGGGGGGGGGGGGAGGGCGAATAATGCAATAATGTTTTTAAAGGAATTTTAAAGAATATTTGACAATTTTGGCGAATGCTTGATAATACTTATTCACAGCTTTCGCAGACATTGTGCCAGGCCACACTCCCACTTTGGAAATCTCACTGCCCGAAAATGAAAGATAACCTTAAACTTATTTCCTATTGCTTCACATGTTATCTGTTTACTTTGCAATCAGTGCAAGAATGTTTACAAACAATCGTAACAAAATAAATATCATATACAATGTTGGTCATAATGGTGGAATATTTATTTTTACCCCAGTTTAGGGAAGGATTTTAAAAAATTACTTATTTCTAATAAATCTAGATAATGGCATACATTCTCAGATGTTATTGAATATTAATTTGCGAGGTTCCCTAGCTGATTAGCATAGTAGCACACATATGATTTAGCAGTCACGCAAAACAAACACTCGCAAATTTATATTCAATAAAATCTGAGAATGTATGCCATTATCTAGATCAATTAGAAATAATTTTTTTTTAAATCCTTCCCTAAACTGGGGTAAAAATAATTATTCCACCATTATGACCAACAGTGTATATTATTTGTTTCTGCTATTGTGCGAAAAAATTGTATGATATTAATCAAAATAGGAACAGTGATATTTATATATGATAATAATTATTGTGACTTTTAACTTTGCTATTATCTACGACCTTAAACTACTAATGCTTTATAGTAAATAAAAGGCTGATAAAGTACAATTGGTCTTCACTGCGCGACATCACACATTTTTCATAAATAAGTTGTAGGCTATACGGATGTGAGTATGTGACAATGCTGTAAAAGAAAACAAATGATAATCAAACTGAATTTCCTTCCTGAAATTTAATCTAACGGGGAACTTCGAGGATCTGGTAAAAACAGTTCCCTGTTTCTAAAAGGAACTATAGAGGTGAAAAGGAACGCTGTTTTTAATTTGCCATACTCCTCTTCTACAAAATGTGCTTGAATAGCAATAGTCTAGAAACTCTAGGGCCCGAATTCACAAAGCAAGGTTTGAGCTCAGACCAAGGTTTGAGCTCAAACCTCCTTTTGTTTCGCCAAACCTCCTTTTGTTCTTTACAAACCAGGTTTGTAAAAAACGCGTAAA